GCTGGGTTTGTGGCTCAAGTGGTAGTGCGCTCGCCTGGCATGTGTGGGGCGCTGGGTTCGATCCTCAGCACCACATAAAAATAAAATAAAGATGTTGTGTCCGCCGAGAACTAAAAAATAAATATTAAGAAAATATTTATTTTTTAGTTGTAGTTGGACACAATACCTTTGTTTCATTTATTTACTTTTATGTGGTACTGAGGATTGAACCCAGGGCCTGGCCCATGCTAGGCGAGCGCTCTACCACTGAGCCACAACCCCAGCCCTTTCTTTTTATTTTTTAACCATTTTTAAAAAATTTTTGATTTGTTATATATGACAACAAAATGCATTACAATTCATATTACACACATAGAACACAAATTTTCATATCTCTGGTTGTACACAAAATAGATTTACATCCTTCGTATCTTCTTACATGTATTTAGGGTAATGATGACCATCACATTACACCATCTTCCCTACCCCTGTGCCTCCTCCCTCCCCTTTTCCCCTTTGCCCTATCTAGAGTTCATTTAATCTTCCCATCCCACCCACCAACAGTATATTATGGATCAGCATCCTTAAATCAGAGAAATCATTTGGCATTTGATTTTTTTGGGGATTGGTTAATTTCATTTAGCATTATATTCTACAGCTTCATCCATTTACCTTCAAATGTCATGATTTTATTCTCTTTTAATGCTGAATAATATTCTGTTGTGTATATATACCACATTTTCTTTATCCATTTATCTACTAAAGGGCATCTAGGTTGGTTCCACAGTTTAGTATTGTGAATTGTGCTACTATAGACATTGATGTGGCTATGTCCCTGTAATATGCTGTTTTTAAGTCCTTTGGGTATAGACTGAGGAATGGGATAGCTGGGTCAAATGGTGATTCCATTCCCAATTTTCCAAGGATTCTTCATACTGCTTTCCATGTTGGCTGCACCAATTTGCAGTCCCACCTTTTTCCCTACATCCTCACCAAAACTTATTGTTGTTTGTATTCTTAATAGCTGCCATTCTGACTGGAGTCAGATGAAATCTTAGAGTAGTTTTGATTTGCATTTCTCTAATTGCTAGAGATGTTGAACATTTTTTTCATATATTTGTTGATTTTTATGTGGTATTTTTATGTATGTATATCATCTTCTGAGAAGTGTCTGTTCAGTTCCTTGGCCCATTTATTGATTGGGTTGTTTTTTTGGTGTTAAGATTTTGAGTTCTTTATATGTTCTAGACATTAGTGCTCTAGCTGATGGGCGTGTGATAAGACTTTGTTCCCAATTAGTAGGCTCACTATTCACCTCACTGATTATTTCTTTTGCTGAGAGAAGCTTTTTAGTTTGAATCCATCCCATTTATTGATTTTTGAAATTAATTCTTGCTATGCAAATATTTCTAAAATATGTTTTTTCACTCAATAATTTGTGTCATAGGCCATCCATCTTTATTAAATATAAAGTTTTTATTTTAATAAAAATTGCTATTCAGTGTTCCACATTCTGAATCTACTGCATTTTATTCATTGTTTCCCTACTGATGTTTTTCAGTGTTTGACAAAAGTATTGCAATGAGCCTTTCTGTAGATCCCTTTTTAGGCAAAGGTCAAGGGCATTTCTAGGACAGACACCTGAAAATGGAATTCCTAAGTAACTCATTAATATTTTACATTAATATTTAAGTATTTTTTCATGATATAGAGGAAACGATCTCTCTGGCCTGTAAAAGTTACTTAGCAAATAACCTGAACTTTCTAGGAAATATTAAGAAGAAACAAAACTTCCAGAATTGGAGCAGGAGAGTATTCTGAAATTTTCAGACATGACTCAAACTTATTCTTTGATCTTTGATACTTTTCCCATTTTAATCAGGCTTTGTTACTTTGCTTTTGAAATATTTAAATGTGTTTGCCCCCTTTAAGATAGTAAGCCAAATATAAAAATATGATTACACAAGTAATTTAATTCAAAGAATTTACAGGAAATTCTTATACATAACTCAAGTGGTTAGAATATAAGAAATAAGCTTAGAATAGAATTTGGAGTATGAGTGACCACGAAGACTCACCTAGTTCAGTCCTCTTGATTTACAAATATGATGAATGAAGGCACAGAGAGCTTAAATGATTCATGTGGATTCCTGCTGGATCCATGGAAACTCAGAGACTCAAAAATCCCCTTTGAAGAGAATATTTAGGTTTGCAAATCACTAGAATCTTTGCAACACTTGTTTCGTAATAATGATAGATCAACTGAAAGCTACACTACAGTGACTTTTCTGTTTAGCTTCTTGCTGTTTTACCATGCTAACTCACAAAAGTCCCATACCTCTTGTCCAAAGAAAATATAAAAATACAATCTTTTTTTTGAGAACTGTAGAAACTTATCAGATGTGTCTGGGACTAGAAGTTAATTGTAAACTTGGTTAAAAGCCTTTTCCTGTAGTTTTGGTCTATAGATCAGAGTTCTGTGTTGTCTTTTTGTTTTTGTTGTTGTTATTGTTGTTGATGTGTTTTTAAAATATTTGTAAAGCCTGTGGTTTTTAAAAAATTGTATTTATCTATCTTAATTTGGTATATATGGCAGCAGAATGCATTTTGATTCATTATACACAATTGGAGTACAACTTTTGTGTTGTCTTTTGTACATAAAAACTTCAACTATAATTTCTATATAGATTTTTTTGAGATCGAAGTAGAGCTTAGACCTTTTGAATCATTTAGGAGTGCAGAATCCTTTTGGATTTTTGTGGATTTCTCCTCTAATATTTTCTGATTTTCTTGTTCATATTAATGATGCTTTTTAGGAAAAAAAAAAACTTTTTTAAGGTTTTCTTTAAAACTTTCCACTTAGTTTTATAACCAATTCTAGAATGCCCAGATGTCAAGTTAGTATACTACTTAATTGTATGGCATAGTTCCTGTAATAAGAAAACTAGCATAAACAGATTAGAAAATGAACATAGTTAATCCATGCTGTGTAGCACTCCAGTGGCACATGAGGAAGTTGCAAACTGAGCATTAGGCAAGCCACCTGCAGAGTGGTATATATGGGAGGAGTAAAAAATTTTTGTGAGTCAGCTCAGGGGAGGTTGCTTAGAAGAACTTCTACTGTATTCTAAAGAGACCGTTGGCAAATTTTAGGACAGTGATCTATAGGGAACACAGGAGGAATGTAAAGTTTATATGCATTAAGCCCTATCAAAAAGCAGTGATAAACTTTTTTAAAATTATTTTTTAGTTGTAGTTGGACACAATACCTTTATTTTATTCATTTATTTTTATGTGGTGCTGAGGATAGAACCCAGGGTCTTTCACGTGCAAGGCGAGCGCTCTACTGCTGAGCCACAACCCCAGCCCAGTGATAAACTTTTAAAAAAAATTTTACTGGACATAAACAAATTTTCTTTTTGGGGAAACTCAAAATGCAAAAATTCCCTTGAAGATTTCTTGGTAGCTTATTCTATTCTTTCTTAATGATCCCAATACATTATGATGTAATGTGATACTTTTTTTTTTTTAAATACACTTTTCAATCTGACTTAAAAATCTGGGGGAGGTACATGCCACCTCCTTTTTTCCCCCTATACTCCTTACATACATTTGACAAAGGCTGTAATCCCAGCAGCTCCCAAGCTTGAGGCAGGAGGATTTCAAGTTTAAAGCCAGCCTCAGCAATTTAGCAAAGCCCTAAGTAACTCAGCAAGACCCTCTTTCTAAGTAAAATATAAAAAAAGGGCTGGGGATGTGACTCAGTGATTAACCGCTCCTGGGTTCAATCTCCAGTACAACAATAACAACAACAACAAAAATACAAGAATCAGACTTTGTCCTATAGAAATGCTTCTTTGTAATTGTATGTCATTTAGGAACATTTCTTTTTACCTATTTTTCTAAAGCTATGTTATTTGAACTGTGTGTTATGTAATTAAAGATTTTTGTTGAATAGTTATTATATGATATAAAATTGCATGTATGCTTTAATATTTAAATTGATGACAGTGTAACCTAAAAGCCATTTTAGAACTTTTTACTTGGCTTGAATAGGAATTTTCTTATCTAAAGATTTTTATATATGCTTGTCTTGCTTCCTTTGTTATTAGCATGGAGATCATGGGAATTTTTGCTGTTGTTTCATTTATGCAGTTCATGAATGTATTAAGCACATGAAAAATACTGTTAGACACTGTTAATATAAAAATGATTTAAAAACATGGCTCTTGTCCTTTTCTAAATTTATTTATTTATTTTTTTAGTTTTTAACTATTTTAATGAATACAATTTAAAAAGACATAGTTGAAATTTATTTTAATCACAAAACTGAATATATCAAGAGTACTATTTTTATGTGACAAATATATAATTACTAATAAAGAAGATATATGTATTTAGAACTACATTCTCACAACTCCCTCTATTTTAAGGCTCTAGAACATCTTATTTATTTAGTATTTTTTTCTTTTCTAAATTTACATGTAAAACTTACTATATTTCCTTGATAGAGTTAGGTGCTCAGTAAATGTTATCATAGCATTAGAAATGTCACATTCTAACTTGCTTTAGAGTGAATCTCCCTATTAAACATGTTTCCCAAGGCTTCTTTTTAACCCCCTCCATCTTACTTTCCTGGGCAAAAGAATCTACCTACCTCTAACTGTGGTTCTTTCTTGTGTCAAATAAAAATCTTCTTTGAAAAGCACTTGCTATGCCAACTCTACTGGGACTTCTAATATTGTCACGTTGTCCTCTGTTTAAAGGAGAAGGAGGAAAAGGTGTGTGCCACCGCACCTGGCTGTTCAGTATTTTCTAATGAATTCAGATGAGGAAGAAAATCTCTAGTGGCTATTATTTTTTAAATCTGTGCCTGTGTGTCCCTCTAATGAAGGCTGTATTAAGCCCCTTTTGATCAAGTGCTGTTATGATTCATTTATTTGAAAATTAAGTTACTAGAAACTTAGAATTTTGTGTCCTTATAATTAAAAAAAAAAAAATGCTTCTTTTTTCCCCCTTAGTCTCCTTGTATACATTTGACAAAGCTAAACAGTGTATTGGCACAATGACCATCGAGATTGATTTCCTGCAGAAAAAAAACATCGACTCCAACCCTTATGACACCGACAAGATGGCAGCAGAATTTATTCAACAGTTCAACAACCAGGCCTTCTCAGTGGGGCAGCAGGTAGGTCTAAGTTTTCTTTATTTCTTTTCACTTAATAGGTATTCTAGTCCCTGTTGTTATCCAAATTACTTCTACTTTTTAACAACTGAGAGGTGCATAGAACAGATATATCCAAGATATGTGATTAAAAAGTAAGGGAGTTATACTTACTAAGCCTGCACAGTTCTAGTCAGAAAAATTCTAAAGTAGCTTTCAGCTTAAGATGTCATATATAGTTACAGTTGCTTTTCCCTCTGCAAATTTAGGAACATTGCAGATATAAATCTGAGTTTCTTTCTTTCTTTTTTTTTAATTGCAGGACATTTGTTTTATTTCTGGGATATCTTTCTCTTTTCCTAATGCATTTCTGTATAAAAAGTAGTTCATGACATCTTTTGGTTATGGATTTGAGAATCTAAAAAAAATTGTGTATATATTCAATTTTTTTTTTTTTTTTTTTTTTGTAGAAAATTTAAAGCCAAAACCTTCATTAAAAAACATTTGCCAAGGACTGTGGGTATACCTCACCAAGTTGTGCGAAGCCCAGGGTTCAATTCCAAGCACTGCCAAACAAAGAAAAAAAAGAAGACATTTGTCAGTATTGTCCTTTATTTGGACTTCAGTTAATATCACATAATTAACCTCCTAAGAAAGATTCTTCTTTTTTTCAAAATTTTACTTAAATGTGAGTTCATATTATTGTTTGAGCATTTTCTTTTGACCTTCCCATCACATTTGTCTCCTTCTTAGTGACTTTCTTAGTCATTTCAGACTCCTTCCTCATACCTTAGCTCCACAGCAGCAGTTCTAAGGTGTAGTCCAGAGACCCTGGGGTTCCCTGAGACCTTTTCAGGGATCTACAAAGTCAAAACTACTTTCATAATAGTGCCAAGATGTTTTTGTCATGTTCCTTGTATTCCACAAGTGTGTGGTGGAGGGTGGCTGACTACGTGGTTTGTGCTAGCACAGTGCACTGACTGTTGAAGCAGATGTGAGGTGTTTGCCATAAACCAGACATCAAAGAAATTTAGAAAAATGTGACAGCACCACTCTTCTCACTGTAACTACATATGACATCTTAAGCTGAAAGCTACTTTAGAATTTTTCTGACTAGAATTGTGCAGGCTTAGTAAGAATAACTCCCTTACTTTTTTATCACATATCTTGGATATATCTGTTCTATGCAAAGCTCCTCTTATTTTTGTTTCAGAAAATAGGGTTTTTTTAAAAATTAAAAATGTTATTTATGTTAACACATAATAGATTTATCATTATTAATTTTAAATTAATGATAAAGTTTTTTGTTCTAATAATCTCTAATATGATGAATGTCAGTGGGTCTAATCCACATAAACAAAAGCTCTTTGGAGTCCTCAAAATTTTTAGCAGTATATAATGGCATTCTGAGATTAAAATGCTTGAGATTTGCTGCTCCCTAGCATTCTGATCCCTAATGGCTTAGAAATGCCATGTGGGAAGTACTCTGACGTAAGTGAACCCAGTGCTCCACTGGTGCAGTTTTGTTTTGAATGGTCTGGAAGGCTCCCCCAGATGCCATTTAGCTGATAATTGTTGACTACCCGTCCATTAGTTTGGGGGCTATGCTTTATCCCTTACGGATTCCTGCATATTTTGGCTAATAATTGTATGCAGATTACCTACCTAAACTTTATTGTTTTTACCTTTGCCTTTAGCTTTAGTATCTTAGTAAAAAAATGCTTAGAAGAATGTTTAATAGAAAATGCTTTGGTGTTTGTTTTCATTTTAAACTCAATAACATGTATGTGTCAATAAATACATGAAAGAAAACACTCCAGAATAAAGAAAAGTAAATATCTTAGCCCAAATCACTATTCCTAGTATTTACTCTCATTTGTAGTGGTTAGTAGTAGTACTTTTGTACTCCAACTCATGGAAGAGGGTCTAGATTGTAGAAGGCACTCAACAAGTACTTGGTGAATTAATGATTAAGCATTCAGAGCTATTTCTGCAATTGTGTGGCAGGCATTTTGTACAATCTAAAGCATGAATTTTAGAGTCATACACCCAGGCATTGTTTACTGTGACTCTGAGCCCCATTGATTAGAATTTCTATTCCCGAGAATGTTTGGCAGAATTCATTATGTAACCTCCTAAAGTGTTTGATCCCTAGCAGATAATAATAAATTGTAGTTCCCCTATATTTGAGAGAGGTAAAAACTGGTTTTCTGCATTTGGAAAACATTGGTGATAATGTGAGGATCAGGCCATTATATCATGAAATAAAATTTCTCCCCTTTCCTCTTTTCTACATAGCTTGTGTTTAGCTTCAATGAAAAGCTTTTTGGTTTACTGGTGAAGGATATTGAAGCCATGGATCCTAGCATCTTGAAGGGAGAGCCTGCAACTGGTAAAAAACAGAAGGTGTGCTTTGTTTCTAATATATTAAATAACCTTTGTGATATGAATTGTGCAGATTAATATAATTTTCCTAACTATTTACTTGCTTTGCATTTTTTCATATGGTGAATTTTCTTTTTGGTAGGGAGAAAAATGCTTTCATAAAGCATTGTTACTAATATACAAATTAAAATATACTTATTTGCAGACCTAATAGTAATTTGAGGTTTGTATAAGTATTCATAATCCTAGCTGAATGAAGATATTATTTTTGTTTTCACATTTTTTAATTGTTGCATTAGAACTGTACACAATGGTGAGATTTGTTACATATTTGTATATGCACACAAATAATATTAATTAAAGATATTTATTATAATATATGTACACAAATAATATTAATTAAAGATATTTATTATAAATAAAGAAGAAGAGCATTATTGAAATAAAGCATGTAGCAATTATAGGATGTATATAAAAAAGTAAAAGTGACTCAAATAATAATGGGGGAGATTTGCTTTGCACAGAGAGTTCATTTTCTCTTCATTTTTTGCCTTGCATTGAGAAGTCCAAAAGTCTGATATTAGCCTATTAATTATTATCTTTCTGTGTAGATTGAAGTAGGACTGGTTGTTGGAAATAGTCAAGTCGCATTTGAAAAAGCAGAAAATTCATCACTCAATCTTATTGGTAAGAGGTACAGTTTTAAAAAATTCCAAGTGAAATGGAACTATTATTAAATGTGATTCAACTAAAGTGATTTTCAAGCAGGGAAGGAAAAGAGAGGAATGTCCTTCCTGTGAGATGGATTATCCCAAATTCTTGGCATATTTCATATTTGTCAGTTATTCTGATGAAAAAGTTTAAAATCTTCATCTGGATCAGTGTTATCCAAATAGAATATCCAAATACAATATGAAACATGCAATTTTAAATTTCCTAATAGCTATACTAAAAATAAGTAAAAAGAAACAATGAAATTAATTTTTAACTTTAAATTTTCTGATAATTTTAGGCTTATAGGAGATTTGCAGAAATAGCTCAGAGAACTACTATCTACCTTTCACAAACTTCCTCTGATGTGAACATCTTAAATAACCCTGTATAGTTAACAAAATTAAGAAATTAAGAACAGTAGCTCGTTAAAATAGCAGTTTCAATGCTACTAACTAAACTATAGACTTTATTTGGATTTCACCAGTTTTTCCCATTACGTTCTTTTTCTGGTCCAGGATCTCATTCAGGATCATCTGATATTGCATTTAGTGTAGTTTCTCAGAATTTCATTATCTTTCATGACCTTGAAAACTGGTCAGTTATAATTGGTCATCTGGTGGTTGTATTAAATGAGATACTGTCATCACTTTTATTAGTGATCAAAGGATGAATGCTTTGGACTATGTTCATAGTCCATCCAGTCCCATTCTTGTTCTTTAGCCCTGCTTTTTTAAAAATATTTTTTTAGTTGTAGCTAGACATAATACCTTTATTTATTTTTATGTCGTGCTGAGGATTGAACCTAGTGCCTCATACATGTGTGGCAAGCACTCTGCCACTGAGCCACAATCCCAGCCCAGCCCTACTTTTATTATATTAAAATAATGCAATTTAGTATTGAAGAACAGTAGCTCATCAAAATAGCAGTGCTATTAACTGAATAATAATTCTTACTTTTGATCAATTTAACTATGTTCATATCTACTACATTAGAAAGTAGAGGGTTTTCATTGATTGCATACTACTGCACACTATCATTTTCAAGTTTATGTAACTTTCTCTACATGTGTGGCCTATTTTCTTGGTCCATCAATTACTATTTTATCTTATTGTTTATATTAATTATAAAATATAGATAGACATTCCCTTGAAAACAACTCATATTCTAAATTTTTATTTTTATACTGTGTTTTATAATTTTTTGAGTGTTTTTTTTTTTTTTTTTTTTTTTTAAAATTTTTTGAGTGTTTTTTTTTTTTTTTTTTTGGTTTAACATTTTTCAAGCATCTTAAGTATACCTCTACATATAATTTTTTATGACTATATAATGTCATTTTATAAATGCTGGGTATGTTCCAATATATTTTTGATCCAACACACATATTTATTTATTTATTTTTACACCTTTTGTTAAGATATTTTATCTTAAGGGCATTGCATAACTTTCACACAATGCAAGTATTTCCAAGTAATCCAAGCAAAGGTGTGATAGGCTTGCAGTGAATTTGACCACAAGAGGGCAGTAGAATGTAAGCAAATATTTTTGATAGCCTAAAAGAAATCTCAAAACTCTAACCATAAAATTTCTTTAATGTGATATTTTAAACTTTTTAAAATATGATATTTTCTTCCCTGACTGTATAAAAACTATGTTCTTACCTTTTGTTGTTGTTAATAGTAGAGGTACTAAGGTAACTTGTTCTTTGTATGTGAAATAGTAAATGTGATTCTGTTAAGTTACTTTAGGTGGCACTCTGACATTTAAATTAAATATTTTTTACCCTTGTAAGAGAATCTGTAAACGTGAATTTTGTAGTCAATGGTCTTTAGAGTGATTTTAGACTTTTGTGGACATTTGAAAAAAAGCAAATAAGACATCAAACTCACTAGTGTATCTTCTAGGCTAAGGGGGGGTTACGTACTGATTATAAGCTTAATCTAGACAAGTACATGTATTTTTAAATATAACTTAACTTTTTAAGAGCTTTGAGAGATTGCTAGATTTCAGTTGCCTTTCTGGCAACTAGTGTTGTCTTCATTTGATATGCATGTGGTGTTTCTTCTAATCAACCAAGTTAATTAATTTGGTTAGATTAAAGGCTAGTGAAAACAAGTTCTATGAATTGATGACAAGTAGACTACAGCATAAGTTTAGCTAGTCGTTTTGAAAATTTATTACTGACCATAAATGGGAACCAAAGTAGATAAAGCAAACTCACTCTTTTTATTAGAAAATCCTCCAAGGGTATGTTCTTCTTTGAATAAGGGTAGCTTGTCTGTTCACTTGAGATGACCAGAGAGTATCTATCTGTGTTTTTACACTTGGAGGTGAAGTTGTTGTTTCACATTTGATTATATTTATTTGACACAGGCAAAGCTAAAACCAAGGAAAATCGCCAATCTATCATCAATCCTGACTGGAACTTTGAGAAAATGGGAATAGGAGGTCTGGACAAAGAATTTTCAGACATTTTTCGACGAGCATTTGCTTCGCGCGTATTTCCTCCAGAGATTGTGGAGCAGATGGGTGAGTTCAAAAGGGAAAATTTCATAAAAGTTTATATTTAAAAAAAATTAAGAGATAATCTCTTTTCAGTGATTTTGAAATTATTCAAATCTGCCAAAATATTTTTTTTCAGTTTTAACTTTTTTAAAAAAATAAGTTTTCTGAAAATTTTTCAAAATCTTTAATTTTATGGTGAAATCATAGAAATAATATTTGGGTTGTTCAACTTATTTAGTTAGTTTAGAATTTTTTTTTTTCATAGGGCATATTTAGAAATTTTACCTGATTCTAAAGATTCATTGTGGGTCATGTTTACCCTGCTGAATAATCATTATATATGATTATTATTGTTATTATTAATCATTATCTATGCTGCTTCTTCTTTTTTTGTACTATAGCATTATCTCATTAGTATATCTTCATACCTGGTAGATGGATACATGGCATGTTTTTAAATTAGATAAGCTTGATCCAAAAAGACAAATTCAGGATATACACAGTGGTTTCCATATTGCATATAAAGAAATGCTCTATGCATTTATCATTTTCCTCTTGAAGGTTTATTTAATTTATCTGTGTGAAGTGACTTTATTTGCCCAGTGGAAATGCTGTCATGACTGCTTTCATATCCATATCATCCGCTGGATTGGAATGTGAGCAACAGAATATCTGAGAAAGGAATTTATAACATAATAGCTTCTGGCAGTCTATTAGTGTAAAAACAGGATCTAGAAAAACAGAGGGAATACAAATATGTTACTCCCCTTCTCTCACCATTCTTTCTCTTTAAATTGCTACTGGGAGATAAAAGTATATTCATCATGGTGGGGATAAGAACTGCTTTTTAGGCACTAAGTACTTGGATTGTATTAGCCCCCTATTGTTGATAGCTTTTCTGCCTGGTCACTCACTCGAAGAAATTACAGGCACGGCACACACCTGTTCACTGGGTAAAGGTCGAGTTTGGAATTGGATTAAGAGAAAATGACAGAGACCCTCATCACCTGAGTTTTATACACCTTGAAATGACAATAGCATACTCTTTATCTGAAAGTTACAAAGGCCAAGTCAATAAAAAACAGAATTCTAATTTGGAAAATAGTAAAAAGTGGGATAACTCACTATCATGGTAGTGTATTTTAAGGCACAATAAATCCAGAAAAGTTTTTGATCTAGACATGGAAATATTGTTTAAGTGTATTTGGGTAAAAGCAGAGTTGAAGGGATGATTCCAAATGTTTTAAACTTTTCATATGAAATATTTTTATTGGTTTTCAGGACTGAGACCTAGTGATTCAATCTCTGAACATTTATACTATCCAGCCAACAAATAAAAAAATAACTACATCTGTAGTAAGCTGTGTCTTTGATTATAAATATTTTCTGTTTGGAAGCTCTTGAGGATTTCGTTATTAGACGTTAGTTTCTTGTTGGTATGTTATCCAGATCCTGCTCCTGAGGATCTGTCTGGGGTAACATACATAGTTAATACATAAAAGTAAAACTCCTACCAGTCTGTGACTTTGTCGACTGTACAAGAGTTTGAAATTCAATAAAAATAGGTTTAGAATTTATTAGTGAATTTAACCTGTTTCTGGTATTTGTATCTAAATGAGTTAAATTATGGTTGTATGCCTTTTATTATTCATGTGTTTTTTAACTAAGGACAGTAGATTTGAATTTTTGAGTGCTACTGTCCAGAACCTTTCTTTTGGATTTGTTTTTTCTAAGATGTTTACATTAATTCAGTTATACAAAATATAAGTTTTGTTGTTTTTAAACAAAAGTCATATATTTTCTCTTTATGGCTTTTTGCTTTTAAGAAGCATGCATTATCAATTTGATTTAAAAGTCAGTTAATGTAAAGCTACCTTGGCTTTTTAGCTGAATAGAATAATCATTGTTTCTTTATTCTAAATGAAGTTTCTGAAAAAAATCTAAAAAAAATTAAGCTACTTTTTTATGGCTAAATGACTGAGAAATAATTCTCTTGCTATGCATGTGTCATTCCTCATTATCCAATAGAAGCTTCTTCCCCCCTCCTTTGAATTCTGGGGGAATTAGACAGTAAAATTCTTCCTTGCACTCCAGATACACTGTGGTCATAAAGTTCTCATTAAGTTGGTAAAGATATGTAAAAATGAAAATTGCTGCATTTGGATAGAATATAAATAAAATTATACAAGTGTCTCTTATGCGTACCCTGCATTCTTTCACTCTGCCAAGTAGGAACAAAATTGGCTGATTGTTTTTTCTTCACTCTTTGTTAACTAAATAGGCAAAACTATGGTTTTGGATTCAATTAGACACTAGGTATGGTCGGTTAAATCAATTAAAATAAAAATATTAGAAAGGAATAATTTATGTAGGTTATAAGGCTTTTTGCTTTAAGCAGATAACTTTATTTTTGACTAAGAACAAATCATTATCTTACATGGAATCTGGAGAACTTCTACTTTGTAAATGGGAATTTTAACCAAATGGATTTTTTGCCTATATATATCAGTTTTTCAAATTTACAAAGTGATAAATTTAGAATTTTCTTCTGTCATTGTGTTTATGAGATTGATCACAATGCTTCTGGGTAGTATAGTTCTTTCCTTTTGCTTGTAAAACTTCATGTTTCCTTTTCAAAATTAAAAATGTAGGTTAGATACACACAGAATATTGCTGTGGGGGTAAAGAAGACTAAATGACTTAACCAGAGGCACACAATTATGCGGGAAAATTAGGGATCAAATGATGTGACACATGTAAAAATAACTGTCATAGAATTTCCAATCTCTTGAAGTACTTTCAGATACATAGTGTACACCTTCTTGCTTTTGTTATATCTTTGAAGAATTAAAACCAAGGAAGTCCTTAAAGAGAAAAGGAAATCACATAAAGCCAGACAGACAGAGGGATAGAGGCTATCTGTAAGAATAGGAAAGGAATGACTTTGGGGGACTATCACCTGAGGCATTTGCTGTTGTTTTAATCAGGATAGCTACTTTTTTCTTGTCTGTAGCCCAAGTGTAACAGCTGTTCTTTGGAAGTATGTGGAAATATTAGCAAAGAAAACAAGACCTGTACCTTGATGTTAGTGAGTACCAAATAGGTATTTAGTTAAAATGTCCTCCAACCCCCCAACAATAGATGTTTAATTAGAAATGACCTTAAATTATTACTTTGTGGGATAACATTCAGTGCCATGAATCCTAGGGCAGAAGTGTGAGCATCAGAAGTTGGCGTCTGAAAGTTCAGGTAAATAAGAGCAGCAAGCGGATTGCTGCCCTTGAGCATTTTCAGATGCAATTGAATATATTCTTCTGTTCAGATATTACCACACTTGTTCCCCACGTGCAATTTGTAGAGAATGCTCATGATAAATAACTGACTGATTAATTACTGAATTCTCATTGCAGCTCTTTTGTTGGCAAAGAGAATTTCTGCAGAGAAACTTCATTTTTCAGCATCCCTGGCAACAATCTCTGAACAGTAACTGTCAAAACAAAAAACTAAATCCTTTTCAATGAATACTGGAATAACTGCTAAATGTAATCTGGGGAGTAGGTCTGTAGCTACCCAAAGAAAGGAGCTTTGGCAGAGGAGCTAGAAGAGAAAGGGTATAGAGACTGTAGGTCTCTGCCTCCCTGTCTTTCTAGAATCTTCAGGCTCTGGACGTGCAGGCCACCTAGCGGGGAAGAATGCCCCTTGTTGTGGTCTTGTGCCCCCATTCTTTGAAACTGAAGCTGTGTTCTTTTTGGTTGTCTTTTCCCTGTGCTTTCCTCTCTAAGCCCATTTTCAATCTGTATTTTTAAGGTTTCTTTTGAAATTCAAGAGGAAAGCAACTCTTTTTTCTGATATCATAAGTAAAACTAGTTCCTCTATGAAGTAGAGCTGTGGAGAAGATAAGGAGCCTTTCAATCACACCCAGACATCTTTCACATGCTAAGAACAGTGCAAATAAAACGTAGTGGAAGAAAGGGTACCAAGGTTTTGTGTGAGCCATATTTGGGAGAAAGGGAGTTCTGGCTAAGATTAACATAAACACTGACACTCTTAAAATGCATTTTCACACCCCCACTCATGAGGAGAGATTGCAATTTAAATGGGGGTTAAGACATCTAGCCGAACTCCAGGGCTCTGTAAAAGGAACCCTAAGGCTAAAGAGCTTATCTGAAATTTGAAAAAAAAGAGAAAAAAAATGAAGCTTTCTGACATTCATCTTTTTTCCTTGTATTAGTCATAACTTGCTTTTCAGCTATATTTTAGGTTTTGAATGCCAGCCTGACATCTGTTCAAGTCTGCCTGCAATTTATTAGCAGAGAAAAAGAAAGCAGTTGCTTAGTAGTAAGATATACAAAACTTTTCCCTTCTAATTTTTCATTAACTGCTTATAGATGATACCTGAATATGAAGAATGTACTAATTTACTAATTCTTACTTTAGATCAAGAAATTTATATAATTTTTTAATTAGAAGAAAATGGCTTCTGACCATGTGATTTCTAAAATCTCTCCAGCAGGGTTTAGAGACAAAGCATATAGCCTAAAAATATTATAGGTAACTTTTTATAAATCGAAAATTTTACTTTGAATTTATACTTTAATAGAAATATGTAGTTATGCCTGTATCTCAAAGTCAAACTATGTAAATTCATTTGGCCTTTTTTTAGTTAAAGACAGACTTAAAGACAGACTTTAAGAAATAAATCTTTTGGAGGGGTAGAGTTGTTTACAGAGTCACCAGTGGATTAGATTTCCTGGCAACTACAGTTTAGTTACTTACAGATGAGCAGTTGGGTCACTACCAAGTTGAAGTCTAAGTCTTAACCTGAATGTCCATTGGTAGGGAAATGATTAAATAAACTATGATATATTTACATTATAGAATATAACAGAACCTACCTTAAAATGAAATAGCTCCAAATAAACAGACATAATTGTGTTAATAAATACATAAAACTGAAAGTAAATGCATCATAAACTCAGGACATGTTAAATTGAAAAAGTTGTTTACTTCTGTGAAAGGAAGTT